CCAGACCCTATTACATGAGCATGTAAAACCAACTTAGAGACACCAACTGCTAGATCAGCGATTCTCAAATAGGAGCCTGGGTGTTCTCCATGATTTCAAAATTTTAGAATTCAATAAATCTTTTAAAAACATGCCCAGTGCCTTGGGGTCCCAGTCCCCGAGATGGCAGGGGCTACCACTTGCGTATGGAGCGCCCACCTCCCATTCCTCCCTAACAGAAACCCCCAGTCTGGGAGTGAGGCTGTGCCCCAGCACACAACCCCATTCCCCAGCCTCCCTCGTAGCTCACAGTGTCTCCACAATGAGACAACAGCAAGACGTAAGAAGTCACCGTAGTCCTGGGGGAGAGCTTTGAAGATAGTGGAGCTGACGGCCCCCCTCTGGCCTTCCTCACCTTCCTCGCTCTCTGCCTACCTGTCGCTCTCGTGGCCGGAGCTCCAGAAGCCACCTTCCAAGCATCAAGGGGATGACCACACCAGGGAAGGCAGAATGGGGCTGGAGAAGGCCAGGCCTTCGTTCCATGGACACCCCGCTTCCGAACTCTCATTAAGTGAGAGACGAAAAATTCCTGGCCCGTTGGAGCCAATATACATATTTATCTAAATCTAGTCAAACACAACCACGGAAGGATCTAGAGTTTGCATGTGTGTTTTTTTTAAATCCCCAGGACATCAAGGGAAAGTCAAATGACCAATCGGGGCAGCTCCTAACCTACAATGAAAGAAAAAAATGGGAGAACTGAGCCACCCGGCACCATAGGCTGCTGACCCAGAGGCCCCGGGCAGCAGAAATTGGCACCGCAGCCCAATGGCACACAGAGTTCACTCCCAGAAAACACTGTTTAATGGGAAGTGACAATAATTTGGATATGTCGTACTTTATTTGAAAATTTGCTCAGGTTTACAGTTGTATGTATGTTTGAAATAGATGGAATTTGTACCTAACTTTGTTCACATTTAAGAAACACTGTTAATTAAAGAAAGACTAATTAAAGAAAGACTAATTAAAATGTGACCTGCTTGCCCAGTTTCTTAACTGGTCAATTCAATAAGACTTCAATGGATGCCTATTATATGCCCAAAGAATTTTAAGTCAGGCTCTGCTTCAAGAACTTTGGAGAAAAAGACCCCTGTAGGTGAGACAAATGGAAGGTACTACATAGGACGGTGCTAAATTAGAGTGGAACAGAAATTCAGAGAAGAAATAATACTGCTGACATCATAATAGTGAACATTCGCAGAGTATTTCCATTCTCTCATGAAACATTCACAATTATCCCATGGAAAAGACTGCTCTGATTCCCACTTTATAGATGAAAAAACTGAGGCTCTGGGAGCTTAAGAAACTTGCCCAAGGCCCAAAGGCTCAGGTGTGTCAGACGGATCCTGGTGCACCCTCCATTCTTTTTAGCACAGTCTGAGATGGGGAAGGGGGGCCAGGTCATGAGCGGTCAGAGGCAGAGTTTAGTCTTGATGCACGGGGAACAGGGAGCCATTGCAGGTTCCATGTTCTCAGTGGACACGGAGCCTGGGAAGAGGCCCTGCGAAGGCTGTGCGGATGAGATAGGGGGAGATTCAGCTGGAGTGACCACACCAGTTGCCAAAGCATGAGGATGCTTCACAGAAAGAACTGCTACTAATTGGCAACATAGTAAAAACGTGAGGAAACACCCCTCGGCCAGGTGATCAAGGTCAACACCAGCCGTGATGAGCCATGGTGACTGCATGCACCCTTGACACGATGTGAGGAGAAGGGCACTTTACCGCTATGGTCTTTCTCCCAAAACCCACAGCTGCCGTCTAATCGTGAAAAAAATCAGACAAATCACAATTGTGGGACAGTCTACAAAACACCTAACCAGTGCTTCTCAAAACCGTCAAGGTCATCAAAAACAAGCAATGTCTGAGAAACTGTCACAGACACCAAGTAAATGTACTATGGGATCCTGGGACAGAAAAATGACATTAGGGAAAAAATGCAGAAATCTGAAAAAAGTGTGACCCTTATATATACTTATATATAAAAATACGTTATATCACAACATAATATGCAATCATATTAATATATTAATAAAATAACCATATTAATGGTTAACAGTAGTCATTATATTGATAATGCTAATGTATCACTATTGGTTCATTAATTGTAAGGAATGTCCCATACTAACATATGACGTTAATAACAGAGGAAACTGGGTGTGGGACATAGGGGAATCTTCTATACTATCTTCTTAAATTCAGTGAATCTAAAACTGTTCTGAAAGTTAAAGTTTATTTTTCTTAAAGTGAGGAATGGAAGAGAGGGATGAGACAAAGGTGACTTCCCTCCAGACAGCTAGCCAGAGAAGCAGGAGATGAGGGGGAGGGGAGTGTGGGTGTGGAGACCCTGGACCGGAGGCGGTATCTGTCCATCCGTCCCCTGCTATGGACCAGGTCTTCTTCTGGGCTCTGGGAACAAGTCAGGAAGACCCCCTGCCTTCAGGGAGCCTACACTCCAGTCTCGGG